GTTTCCGCATTGACTTCAAAGTGTTAATGCTTACATATAAAGCCCTAAACAGTTTAGGACCTCGATACTTGGCGGAACGCTTACTCCCAACTAGTTCTACCCGTGTCACCCGCGCGAGCCAGGAGGTGAGGCTGAGGAGCCTGACACTGATGGAGGCCAGGAAGGAAAGAACTAGAAACCGGGCCTTCTCAGCGGTGGCTCCTCGCCTCTGGAATAACCTACCTCCGGAGATTCGCGCTGCACCCTCGCTTGGTACTTTTAAGAACCAACTAAAAACGTGAATGTATAGGCAGGCCTTCCCTTCCAGTTAATTCCTGTCCTCTTTCCTTTTTTATTCTTTTTCTCTTTATTTGATTTATTTTGTATTTTTCCCATCTTGCAGAATCATTTAATTAATTAATTGTTAGAATTTTTTCTTGAACTTTTTATCCTTCATGTTGTAAGCCGCCTAGAGTGGTCGAAATGACTAGATAGGTGGGGTGACCCTGATGTTGGGAAAATGTGAAGGCAAGAGAAGAAGGAGACAACAGAGGATGAGATGGATAGACAGTGTCATCGAAGCTACCAACATGAATTTGACCAAACTCCAGAAGGCAGTTGAAGACAGGAGGGCCTGGTGTGCTCTGGTCCATGGGGTCATGAAGAGTCAGACACAACTTAATGACTAAACAACAAATTGCTCTTTCAAGACTGTTCACAAGACTATTATACCTACCATTAAAATCAATTGTACATGTCAAGAACTCAACATGAAATTGTATATTTTGTGTATGTCTTAACATAAATTTATATGATAGTATCACATGATAAAGATTTGCAAAGATCATAGTACTGAATATGAACTGCAAAAAACACAGCCAGTTTACTCATTCTCCCCGTGTTTTACAATCAATGCACATTTGATTGCCTATTGTGTACTCTTTTAATTGCATTTTGTGTGTTTTGACCATGTAGTGTGTTTTATGGATTGGCTATACACTTTTGAATTGCATTTTGTGTATTCTGGCCACATGGTTTTTTTGGTGAATTATTTGTATATTTTTAACTGTATTTTGTATGTTTTAGCCACGGATATGTTTCGTGGGTTGGTCACCTGACCGTAATAAATAAATTATGTTCTATTCTATTCTATTCTACAGCCAGTTTTCTCTTTGGGCAGCAGGTCAATGGATTTGGTGATTACAGCGATGATCTGTAGGTGGCAGACCCAGAGCACTAATGGGTTTTCACTTGGACAGCATAAATAACACATGGTAAACAAACTGTCAGTAGGTGAATGGATGCCAAATGAAATAAAAAAGCCAAGGTAAACCCTGGGTTTATCTAGCTACCACTTTGAAAACTATCAGATGCTGATTTCTGGATTTCTGGTCAAATGGAAAAATACACAATTTTTTTAATTGAGTGCATGCTCATTATTCAATTAATATAAAGCACTGAAATCGCTCTTTAGCTGTGACTGAATGCCATAATAAAGATTTCTCTTCCTAAATACCTAACCCTTGTTGCATATTGTCAAATCAATTCTGACTTATGTTGATCCTTTTCAGGGGTTTCTAGGTAGAGAATATTCAGAAGTGGTTTACCATTCCCCTTTTCTGGGGGCATCCTGGGACTGTGCAGCTTGCCCAAGGCCATATAACCTGGATCTTCTCACAGGAGGAACAGTTGGGAATCAAACTCTGAACCTCTGGCTAGCATATATTTTTATCTGTAGATTTGAAATTTCCTCTAAGATAATCACTACAGTGAATACATCTGAACATTGGGCCTGAGCCAGAAGATGTTGATGCAGAAAACCAAATACTTCACCTCCTGTCTCTGCCACCTGTTATTCTTTACCTTTAAAAATAATTCAGGGCAAGCATGAGTCCAATAGTGGTTGTTGTTCACATACAGTTCTACTGCTGACATGTTCGGTAGTACCAGCTGAATGTCACACAATCAGTTCTCACCTTAAGAAATTTAGAATTCTGGTCCTCTAACAATAAAATCTCTTCTTCCATCTTCTTTATTTTGGCTTCTGCTGTGACTTTTTCAAGTTGTAGCTTCTGCCGAGCCCCTTCTTCCTCATCAAGCTGCTCCTCTAGGTCCTGAAGGAGAGAGTTCAATTTAACTAATTGGTAGTTTTACAGTTTTCGTGCTTTCACTCAGTTTTACTGAAGAGAAAAGTGCAGAGATCAGTAGACTGAAATATACCTGTATGTGAGCCTGCATTTTTTTCTTTTCATTTTGTAGGACTTGGTTCCTTTCTTCCTCCTCCTCTACTCTGGACTCTAAATCATGAAGAATTTCTTCTAACTCTTGCTTCTTGGCAGCCAGGCGAGCTCTCATCTCCTCAGCTTCTGCAAAAAGTTCTGTTTCTGCTTGCAACTGCTCTGCAAGAATGTTTTTCTCTTCTAACAGCTGCAAACATGACAAGAAAAGCTTGTGTCCACCAACCTTTTCTAATCAGGAGTCAAGAAACTATAATCCATAGGTAGCTACTTAGTTATGGAACAGTTTGATAGTTTAGCATACTGCAAAGATATGCTAACAAAGTAGCAGACATTAATAATTATAATTATCTAGCACTAGCAGAGACTTTAAGGTGAATTACTAGAAGAGTGAATTTGTTGTGGCAGTGCCCTGTCTTGCTCTTTTAACTCTTCTTGCTTTTAATGGTAGAAGAACGAGTAAATCTGGGAATAAGTGGTTGAGAAGAAAAAACTGAACTGAAACAAATGTAGTCTTCATCTATTTCAGACTCCTGCTGCAAAGCTTGTGTTCCTTTTATCATGGCCCAGCTTGTTTTTGCAATCAGAAGCCACAAGTAAAGAGAACATAAGGTACAGTATTACATATAAATGCTTATAAGAAGAGTGGAACATGTATCAAGTATTTAGAAATGACTGAGTTACGTTATAATGCATGCACAGGGAAACGCTTCAGCCTGTTTTCCAAATTAACACCACAAAAATAAGTTTGCTACCGTTATGTTTGTTTAACTCTACACATTTTGTTTACACATTCCATAGACACATCTAAGTAAGCCAAAAAGCTAGAACAGCCTTTCTTGGATAGAAAATCAAGTTATAAACCCAAGTAAAATTAGATAACATATTTTTAATCCCAATACTGATAAGGTCAACAATTCATCTCTGTACACAGGTCAATAGCTATCCCATAATACTGAGAGTGTCTACAGACCTGCTGATGCTTTCTTTCCATCTCTTCAAGTTCTGCTTCCACCTTTATCTGCTTCTCCTTCACCTTTAGCAGCTCCTCATCCTTAGCCTGAAGTTCTTCCTCCTGACGAGTAACCTGAAGGAGAGGCTTCACCTGCAAAGTGTGGCATATGGAACAAGGTGGTAACAAAGCATGTCACTTTCTAAGTGCTGAGTATTCCAGCATATAGTGCAAATGGGAGGGGGACAATGGCAACATACCTTTGTGAACACTCTCCACCACTGCCAGTGCCTTAATTTCAGATAAGCAGCACAATTTCTCTGCAGAACTTTCAGTGCACTCAACTGCTGCTGCTTCTTAGCAAAGGCCCTATGCACAATCACAAATTAAAAGTTTGAGAATATTTACACTTTAGCAGCTACATCAAAACATTTTATATACCCATAATGAAGCTAGTTTAGTTGCAAGGACAAATGACCATGGCTCCAACTCTGGCAGTAAGGAATCACCTCCATGATCCAGCTTCCGATCAGATATAAAACAATTTCAGAAATGTTAACAGTTTAAAAACTCACCAAGTTTGCTATGAACTAAGAAACCATGCATCCTATTCTGGATGCAGTCCTTCCAATTAAACTAAGCTCTTTGCAGATTCCCACTAAATCTTAGCTGTAAAGATTAAGGAGACATTTTTGACAAGGCTACTGTATTTACTTACTTTCTGGCAAGGTACCCCCTACAGACTGCCTGGAAGAAGATAATGATGTCTGTTATCTTCAGATCCCTTTCCTCCTCTAGATGTGCCAATACACCAGCTCGGAAAAAAATCTTGCTCTGTCCAATCCTGTACAAGTTGGGATCAAGCTCCAATGCTCTGATCTATGCAAAAGTCAAACCCATTTGTTTCACATAGGAAATACAAGCAAGCAAGTAGTTTTTAGCAACATTGGACTGCTTGTGAATGCCTCGTTTATTTCTTTAATTCCTATCCCCACACACACTTGAGGGACTCAAGGTGCCTCACAAAGGATGTAAGAACAAATATTAATCCAATTACATATATAAAAATTGCGTTATTAAAAAAATTAACATATTATTTATAAAAAGCACTAGTTTAAACCCTGTTATAAAACATTTTAAAAATATAAAATGCTTCACAATGAATTTGCATTAATTTGCTTACCATCCTTTCACATGCTTGCTTCCCATCCATAAAACCCTTAGGAATTGCATTAGGAGTCAGAATCTCATACCTACAAATTAATCAGAAATGAACAGTTAACAAGATGGAAAGATAGCAATTTTCATTTTTCCTAAACCAAACCAATTTTGACTAAGTTACAGAAGACTTAGAAGAGGTGAGAGGTAATTAGTTTCAATTATGTGAAGAGACAGACCTCCCACAAATTCAATTTCAGTAACAACAAATCTGATTATTACAGTACCTCTGCCTAAATTCCTGGAATACTATTCTGTTTGGAAATCCTTGTCGACAAATCCTTATTCCTTCTAGAACACCATTACAGCGAAGCTGATCCAGAACTAAATGTGGATCCAGTTTTCCAGCCTAATTATTGAGGAAGAAAAAACCATATTGAAGGGAAATTATAGAAGCTGTTTGCAATTAGCCTATTACTTTTAGCATGAACCACTGATAAGGACCAAGAGTTCTACAGTGTAGGACCAGCATTTTAGTATATCAGCAAATAAAGAAACACCAAATTTCTTAAACTGACCAAAAAGAAATCAGAAGCATCTTTTGTAAGTCAAATTAGAATACGCAGTTATTTAAATAGCACATACCCTTTTTTCATGGTTTGGAATGATACAGCGAACAAAATTTGGGTTAGTGTTTCGAAGTGTGGCCATCAATTTTGTGAGCGACTCTTTGTATAGCTGCCCCACTGTACGAAACATGCCCTTCTTGGTCTTGTAGGCCGAGCCAAATGCAGTCTCTGTTATCCCAGTGACTTGATCTAGACCCACAATACGGTCCACTGCAAAAATCAAGAACATAAAATTAAGTGGAACCCCTGTTTCAGTAACAGAGGCAATTGAAATAAGAAATAAAGGGTGCAGCCAATGCTTTTTGTGACAAATGGTAGAAGGTGTTGTCTGTAGCAAAGCAACTGGCATGTATGGAAGCAGCACAGTTGAAAGCAACACACCAGGCAGAATATTGTAGCTTTGGCATTTATACAGTAGGGAGCATAAAGTTGACAATTTTACTAAGTGCACCAAAGGCATTCCCTCTTCATATGTTAACAGAAGGTTTTGACCAATCCTGGTGAGGAACCAAGTTTGGACATAGCATGAGCTATATGGAAGAACTTTCAATATAGTAAAGCACTTACCACTTACATTAGTAAATGTTCTAAAACTTTGCACTAGAAACCAGCCTTTACAGCCCTTACACAATTTGGTTGTTGTGGGTTTTTTCAGCTCTTTTTAACTTGATGTAAATATGGAATAGTTTCAAATAAAACTACAAGATTAAAACAAAATAATTTACCTTCTTCACAAAAATTTTCTCCAGTACATCATACTGAGTTCAAGTAGTGCATGCCTCTACGGTTTGTTGCACATAGTCATGCAGTTGAAATTCCTCTCCATATTTGACACTGATCAATTCCTGATCAGTTCCTTAGATCAGGGGCCCCAAAAATTGGGTAACACAGGTGTTCTTGGACTGCATCTCTCAGAAACCCCAACCGGCACAGTCCAAAAACCCCTGGGTTACCCAAGGTTGGGAACCAATGTCTTAGAAAAGTGCTAATTTTAGTAAACTACTTTCTACAGATGATATAAATCAAATTCTAAAAAGCATCTTTGACAATGATGGAAAATAATCAAGTAATTGGGAGGCTGTGCTTTGGCCTAAAAGTGAGTCAGAAATGCAAATAAATAAACAGGTTTTAGGACAGTTGTTACGCTGGATATTCCAAGAAACTAAACACATTAAAATCTGCAACTCATTTTCTTACTAATTAGCTCAGCCATTGCACAAGAGATCTTTAATACTCCTTCCCAGGAAGGCAAATCTGTGCCAACTTCTGAAATTCTTTAGCCCAAACATATTCCATATCTATCCCTTGAGTGAAATCTGAATAAAATATTTTAGTGTATTCTCGAAGGCTTTCACAGCCGGGATCTGATGGTTGTTGTGGGTTTTTTGGGCTCTTTGGACGTGTTCTGAAGGTTGTTCTTCCCGACGTTTCACCAGTCTCTGTCGCTGGCATCTTCAGAAGACTGGAGTAGGACCTCTGTCCATGCTCTGTGGACCATGCTCCTCTGAAGATGCCGGCCACAGAGACTGGCCAAATGTCAGGAAGAACAACCTTCAGAACAAGGCCAGAGAGCCCGAAAAACCCACAACAACCATCAAAATATTTTAGCTTTAATCAGTATAGTCTGTAACAGGTATAGAATTAAGGGACATTTTAAAAAGGTACAGACAGTACTTTTCCCCAAGCCTAAGACATATACAAATACAAAATGAAACTAGCTGACACAATACCACTTCATATGACTAAATTTTATACTATTTCCCATTTTAAATAAATTTTATTATATCAAAATCCTTACTAATGCAAAATATATATATAAATTTATTCCTTATCTGTCAATGAAAAATGAATCAAGCTGTAACCATTTCCTCCAAATTAAGTGAACATTTGATAATGTAATGGGCGACTTGTTTAAATGTAAGTGTGATGATGCTCAGTTCCACATGAGACACAATTTCTATTAAGAGTAGACCAGAGGCTTATACCAGTTTCAAGGAAGCAAAGCACGCAAGCAGATCCAATCATAAAAAGCAACAAGAAGGAGACACATGGCCATGCTTGGCTTTGCAACAATTCCAACACATTCACTCTGAAACATTCTACATTTGCAGATAAATTTACAACAAGAAATTTGTAAAATGTGCAATGTTCTACCTTGGGGTCTTGAAAAACTACTATATTGCCTAGATTTTAAATGCTAGCCCAATTTGCTACAATGCCCAGTGTGACAGCACATCAAAGCATTCCAGAAAATGTAAGCTTGCCAGTAATTTCATTAACCATGAAATCTGTTACATGTTTACTCAGAAGTCATTCTTCTTATGTTCAACTAGGCTTAATTTCTAGGAGGGGGATTTTATAATTGTAGTACAAGTGCAATTAATTAAAGTCCAGAGGTACTCTTAACAGAGAAAACATTAGCAGCTAAATGAACCTATCTACTTGGTCCAAGTACTGAAGAACCTCTCCCACAAATTATTTAAAATTCATTGATGGTAACAATTTAATTGAGCAGGTTATAAAATAAAAATCATTCAGCATGCTATTTAATATCAAATTCTAAAGATGCAATTTATTATATGTAGGCCACCAGCTTTGCATGTATTTTGTATACAGACAAGGTGAATATCTACAAAACATAACAAATCCACAACCCTTCTACTTTCAAATACCCCAAAGTAATCAGGGTATTGTGGAGAAGGAAGCCTGTATTTCAAAATGCAGCTACTCACTTGCAAAGCAGTGGCAGTGCAGTACATAAAATGAGACACTAGATGTATGCAGTAGCAACTGAATAATATGCACACAAGAAGGCGTGCCTTGTGGAGGTAAAGCTAAGGTCAGAATGAAATGTAAAGGGTTCATGCTGGCCTATAAGCAATAAATAAATAAGTAAATTGGAAATAAAAATTAAAAAATGATTTTCCTGCAGGTTCAAGTCCTGTTTTAGGAGACCTATTCATTTTTTTCATTCATTCACCTGGTGCATCAGGAAGACCAGTAACATTGTCATAGAAAGAAGCTCTCTGAATAATGTGAATCTCTAGGGCACAGAAACAGCAAGAATAAAGAGCAGATATACAAGACAGTCCAGTTAGTAAAAAGAACACCACTTAGAATTGCAAGCAAGCTTTAACCAAGTACATGGGCCACTGTGGACCACAGTGCATTCAATCATGGACTCAGAGACTGAACAAAAAAGTTGATGGTTGACTGAATTTAGAAGTAAACTCTATATAAAACAGGAATTTCATGTCTTATAAGAAAATTTTACTGAAAAACATTTTAACATACAAGATTAGCAGTATTAACATAGATTTAGGGCTGATTCATAACATCTTAGATATGAAAATGTTGTAGGACAGCAAAGCAACAAGCCCATGTGCACCTTCTGCTGTGTTTTACACTATGGCATGGGCATACATGAATCTGTCCAGTCTTTATGATTATTCCACTGAGGAATAGAGAGACTGCAAAAATTTGGACACCAGGTAAGATGCCATATACTCTCGGTAGGCAAACATACCCTTGCTGCTCCACAGGATATACAATATTTCACAAAGGCTGGTCATTGCATAACCACTACATGTTCTGAAATTGGCTTTACAAATCTGCAAGTGTACCAAATTACTCTTCATCTGATTTATTTTCATTTATTAAAGCTGCCATTATAAAAATGATCCAAAGTAAAATTGCCAATATCACCCAGACTTAGAGTAACACTAGCACCACCACAAAAATATTAATATTAATACAACATAATATTACAAAAGCAGGAAAGGGGGGTGAAAAGGCCAAGCAAGTTGACCAGGGGAAAAGAGCAACTCTGCTACAACAAAAGGTTAAAATTTGAGGACTTTACAATTTAGAAGAGAGCTAAGTAAGGGAAAACAATAGTAGTTCATAAAAATATACATCATTTGGAAAGGTATTTTTCTTCCTCTCTCATAATACTAGAGCTTGCAATCAGGCAATGAAACTGAATGATGGGGGATTCAGGACAGACAAAACTACCTCACATAGCACATGGGAAAAATTATGGAATTCCCTCCTATAGAATGTGGTGATGGCCATTAGCATAGGTGGTTTTAAAAGGACATAAGATAAAAGCATGAAAGATAAAGCTACCAATAGGAAGTAGTGAAGATGGGCATATGGAGTGGTCACAGCTTGCCTCTAGTACCATATGAGGAAGAACAGCAGGATAGAGTAACAGCCCTCATGCCCTGCTTGTTGGCTGGCTTCTCAAGCGCTCTCTAGGGAGTTACTGTCGGAAATGGAGTATGTGCCTAGCTAGGTCTTTAGTATGACCCAGCAACAATTTTCTTGTATCATTTTCTGTGTGAAACTAAACAACAGAGGAAATACTAAAGGATATTAAATTAGAGTATATATCTTGGGAACAAACTAAAAAAAGTAACTATACTTAGAAATGATTAAGCAAGCTTATGGCCTATTATATCTGACAAACAGAATATTGATACAAGAAAAAACTCACTATTGTAATATGTTACACTGACAACACTGTGGAGAGCTGATCATACTGGCCAGAAGGAATCCTACTGGTGTTCACATAAGTTTGCCGCTGCTAACTGATATGGTGGCAAGGATCGTCTTGGTTGCATGCCCGGTCATGAATCGAATATGCAGCCAAGATGTAATCCAGGACCTCATCAATTAGCTGTAATGCTAAATATGAACTCACACAGAGAAAATTGCAGCTTGCCTTATAAAATTTAGAGCAGATTCTTACCATCCTTCCAAAGCTCTGCAACAAATTTGTCAGATGACTGGTGCAGAAGAGTGGCTACATTGTCATTTAAAGGGTCCATATTCTTCATAAGCCACTCATCTGCCTTGTAATCCACCTAGAATGCAGCAAATAGATGATATGGAATATACAGCCAACATTTAGAAATATGAACAGTTATTTTAGTCATTCTGTAAGCATTTACTGAATACCTGTTAGGCTAACATAGAATTATGGCATGAATACATGGAACAGTGATTTTGATCGGGTTTTGCAACTGTAAATGTATGCACTCAAAACAGTGAATCATTTCATAAGGTGCAGAAACTTTAGCAGTTACTTATTTTTACAAATATGTCTTTCTCCAAAAAAAGTTCTGTTTTAGGGATTTCATCAAAGCCTACATCACAATATGTTATTCCTAAGAAAGTATCACTTATTTCACAGATGGTGGGGTCATTATAATTTGGGGCAGCGACTGGACAGTGTTTCAGAATTTTTCGGAGTACATATTTGACAGAGACTATTTTCCTTCTAAGCCTGTGCAATTCTGAGCCAGAACAGAAGTTGCAAAAGAACAGGAGTTGACACTAACTAGTCTACATAATGTTTGAAAACAGACTTTGTGGGTTTCACTTCTGGCAACAAGCAGCAAATACATAACAGTGAACAAAAATGGCAAGGCTTTCTTGACTAAAAAGGTTGATTTATTCTATTCTATTTTAGATCTTTATTCAAAAAGCCCACTCCACAATGAATGGCAAGATGATTCCCCTGACCCAATAATTCCTTATCTGTAACAGATTTCTACTGAGATTTCCATTGGAATAAAGATTTACAGAAATACTCTGCAAAGACTGAAGGTACAGACACTTCTAACTTTCCTAGATACACCTGTGTACAAAGAGGGCTGTCTATTTAACATTTTGTTGCCTCAAATAATCAATCAATTAGTTACATTTATCCTTGGAATACTGATACACTGACTGTGCTTTGCAAAGCATCAAATGAACTATAGTTTGGAAAAAATATATATGCTATTTAGGGATGGGACTTATTATCAAATCACCTTACATTTTTTTATCCAACAGTGTTGCGAGGACTATCCCTATCAAACAGAATGCCTAGGGGATGGGGAAAAATTGCATCTGTGGAAGAGCCTGGAAACCAGCAAGGAGGTTCTTAAAGTTTATTTTGCTTCACAGGCTTTTGCTGTCTTTTTTTTCTTGATTTTTTTGGGGGGGGGATTATTTTTGCTATTGCCAGGCAACCTACTTGTGCCAGTATGTCTCCTTAGGATCACTCTGATTTCTTTAGGGATTTTTTTTGGGGGGGAGGGGCTTTCTTTTCTTAACCTTGTGCCAGTATGTCTCCTTAGGATCACTGTCCAGATGCTGCCACCACCTCTGATTTCTTTAGGGATTTTTTGGGGGGGGAGGGGCTTTCTTTTCTTAAATTATTTTTGCTGCTGCTGCCTATTGGACTCACAGAAGAGATAAGACATCAAGTGGAGTTGGGGAAAGAGAAAGAAATCTTCTCATAGTTTAGTGATTTTTTTTGCCAGGGCTCTGATTGTATTTTTTGTCTTTATTTTCTTGTTTCCTTTTCTTGGTTTTGGGAGAGGTGTTATGTGTGAGAGTTTTTTTATTTTGCTATTTTTCCCTCTGTGTGTGGTTGGGAGTTTTCCCTGTTTGACTGATTTTTAAAATTTTCTTAATTCACTGTGTATTTATTCTGTTAAAGTCATATTCTGGCAGGTTTTTGATTATTTTTAATCTGTTTTTCTTTACTGTTGCTTGCTTTTGGAGAGGACTGATTTTCTGTTGCTTTGCCTGTCTAGGTTTTTTTTTGTTTTTGTTTTTGTTTTTTTGTTTTTTGAGGGGTAGGTAATTTTTAAGGATCCTTTAGGGCTCCTGCAGCACCAAAAACACAAATGGAAAATCCAAAACAAACACAAGAAGACCTGTGCATAAAATATGAAAATGAGTCTTCCCCTACAAAAGAACATGAAATGAAACAAACAAAAATATTCACTGTGCAAACTCTAACACTTCTCTCCAGTCATAACGAGTGATCAGAATCTCACAGGTAATAATATTTACTCTGAACCACAAAGTACATAGGTTCCTATGCACTCTGAACATTTCATTTAATGGGACGTTCTGAAAGATTTTTTAAAATGTAGGGTGCATAATTCTTACCCTCCCTGCATAATGAATGATGCAGAAATCTGCTTTGTCCTTCAGCTGCCGTGGCTTTTGGAATTTGGAATGAGTACCTTGTTCTTGGACCAGCTTTTCCACAAAAGTCTTGTCAGTCGCTTTAGGGAACCAACATTCTTCATCCAACAAAGCCAGTACACCAGGAGGATTTGCCTAGAAAGTATTTTTTATTATAATGATGATGATGATGATGCCACTACTAATTTCCATTTTGGTTTTACATTCTCCTTTCCAATATTTCTTTCACCCTATAATTGTTTCTTAAAACTGTACCTTAAGCAGGACAAGTATGGAGAAGTTGTAGTATATACAAGAGTAAGGGAGCCATGTCCATATTTCAACAAAAGATAAAGGAGAATATACGATTACCAAGTAATAAGCGTTGATTTCAAGTTACTCATAAACAGTTCCTGTTTCACAACATGTAACTATCTACCACATACATTAATTGTAATCAAAGCCACCTAAGCAGAACGTATTTAATAAGTATTACTTGAGACGAGAGCCATGTGGTGTATTAGACCCTAAAGACCAGGATTCAAATATCCTATTTGGTCATGGAAACTCAGTGTAATCAGTGGGGGAGACGTGGCAATGATAAACTACTCTATAAACATCTCACATACTTGAAAGCCCATTAGAGCTATTTTAAGTCAGATGCAATTTAACAGCACATAATGCACACATGTAAGATAATGGGGGAGGGGGGACTCACTGACTCAAAAATTCATGGTTCCTCACAATTTCTTTTGTCTACAAAATGGGCTTTGACACATAAGTTTAAACACACCATGGGCGTATTTCAGGATGCTAGTATTGTATATTATCTCCATAAATTAAGCTTAAGACCTAGCATACTTTCCACAGGTTCTGATTGTTTAAAATTTGCTATGTTAGTCATCTTAAGTAGCTCAATTTTGAATGAGAAAAGCACAATAATAAAAGCACAACTACGTATCAAAAAGGTAAGACTGCAAGATCTGAACAGAGAAAGAATAGCCAAACGAGTTGTAGTGTAGCAAAAATTTTTACTTGCTAGGGTATTCTGATCAGTAAGCTTTATGAAATGACTTATACTGAGAAAATCCTGATTTAGAACGCTTTCAGCTGTTACAAGGTCATTATGAACTTACAGGTCTTTCAATTAAATCAATACAAGGTTGTAGATCCAATCCGAAGTCAATAAAGTTCCACTCTATACCCTCTCTTTGATATTCTTCTTGCTCCAAAATAAACATGGTATGATTGAATAATTGCTGCAGCTTCTCATTAGTGTAGTTGATGCAAAGTTGTTCAAAGGAGTTTAACTGTGGAAAACATCAAGAAAAAAGAGTCTGACCAAACATGAAAAAAGGTGTAAGTATCAAGTGAGACATACTAAAACACAGAAAATACATCTAATTATTTGAAAAGACTACTTTAAAAGGGCAGGAGCAGCTTTTGGGGAATGTGACCACCTCTGCAACAGACTCTGTTAATGGCAGATTTTCAGCACTACAACTTGGGAGTTTCCAGATTTGTATCAAACTCACGTACATCATGATTTAAATGATTACTCTCTCTATGTGTGCCTATATACAGTGGTACCTCGACTTACAAACTTAATCCGTTTTGGAACAGTGTTCATGCGTTGAAAAGTTCGTAAGTTGAAGTACCATTTTCCATTGAAATGCATGGGAACGAAATAAATCCATTCCAGCATTTCAAAAAATTAGCTTCGGAGGTCTCAAAGGGCTTTCCCCCCCAACATCAGAGAAAAGGCTGGAAATTCGAATTTCCTGCTCTTTCTCCCTGCCTTTGGAGGTCTCAAAGGGCTTCCTCAGATGTCAGGGGGAAGCCCTTTGAGACCTCCGAAGGTGGCAATCGCGGCGGTGGAGACCCCCAGGGAGATCTCCCAGCCTTGCCTGCCACCATGGGAGATCTTTGGAGGAAAAACATGATTAAAATTATGTGTGGGTATATATGCACACACACACACTGTCCTGGAACAATTTACTAGCTGGGTGGTTTAGAGGTTGACATGCCATTAATGATGAATGCTATAAGCCAGATTCCTTTAAATGAAGAAGAAATCTAAGTACTATATGGAGTTCCATTGCTTGAGCATGAGCCTGAATAGATTCTGTGAACTAAAAAACATTTTCTATTTCTAAGCATAGGAATGCCTAGTGGATGGTTTCTTGGAGGATAGCAAAATTATCTCAAAGGAGAGTAAATCCTTCATGCCATCAGTTTTAACTTGTCCATGTCTGGATGTCAATCTCAATGCTTATGAAGCATGAATAAATCAACCCACATTGGAAGTACAAAACATTCAGATGCCATCAGCCCTAGGGTTGCAAACTAAGGTTACCAAGGCCAACATGGGTTTAAAAGAATTGCATTGGTCTCATCCTGAGTTATCTACATGATTACCCAATGAATGGGGGGGAACAGGGAAAATAAATACAACCAACTCCTATTCCAAATCTGGGTGAATGCATCCCTCATGGATGAATTCCTTTTCTGGTCCTGGATCAAGAGTTATGGCATTCCAATTGATTTCTGAAGCAAATATATCTGCATGAGGCATTCCCCTCCAGTGAGTTAGCTCCAGACGTTTTCAACATTTCTCCCATTCATGAGACCAAGGCTCCCTCTAAGCCTGGGCTACAACTCCCAGAAGCCTTCACCACCACCTCTGCTGGCCAGGATTTCTGGGAGCTGAAGTTCAAGAACATCTGGGGGCCCAAGGTTGGGGACCACTGCTCTAAGCCATGCATGCGGGCACACGCAACTCCACCTCACTCTGAGCAGTGATCACATTCAAGCCCTTTAGTTCTGGGTCATTACGGAACCCTGCATGTAGAGGGAGGAGTTGCACATACATGCAGAGGTAAAGTCGTGCACACAAGAGGGAGAGCCCCGCCCAGCAGGGCTGAAAATTAGAGGGTATGCTGCATGAGACTGGGAGGTTTTCCTGCTGAGACAATCCACTTTCTGGTTGTTGTATCCTGCTATGTCATCTCTATGATGTCCATGTGTCTGCATATGCACCAATCCCACATGAGACATGTAAGATGGAGAAGAGAACGGAATAAGTTCTCCCTTGCTTGTTTATGTAGAGAAGGGCTGCAGCATTGTTAGTCATAATCCGTACCACCTGATCTCTCACCAGAAGCTAATAAGCTTTCAAAATTTGAAGATGTCTAGGAGTATGAGATAACTGATGTAATTTTCCTTCTCTTGAGGAGACCACTTTGTATGAATGGAGGCATTCAGGCAAGGGGCTCCCCAACCTAAATTGCTGCTATCCGTGGTAAGTAGGATCAATAGCTGCAGCTGCTTAAAGAATTCCTACTGATAGACTGGCTGGATACATCTATCACTGCAGTTGCAAAATTAGTTCTGAAAGCAGTGCAAGTCTCTTGAGAGCACTATCTCTATTGATGTCAAAGTAGAGAAGAAACCAAGTCTGCACAGGTCCTCTGAGGAGCACGAGTTTCACTTGTATTTTTGTTGGCCAGCATACTGGAGGATGAAACCCAGTCTCTTTGTCGGTCAACAGAGTTCACAGCCTAAATATACTTTTGCCAAAGATACAATTTTAATTATGATTGCTGATTTTTTTGGAGTAATCTTGGTGAATGCCTTTCAAATTGAGCAGTTCTGGGATAAATGTGTCTTGCACACACACAGTAGACTGGCAGTGACTGTAGGGAATTTTCACCCCATGATCAATGCACTTCTCAAATGGTGCCAGAGAAACCATATATTTTGGTGAGGGAAAAGGGGCCAGAATAAATGGGACAGGGAGGAGGGACAATGAAAAATCAGGGGGAAATAACTCTACTTATTTTTTAAGGTTTTAATAACAAAATAAAGGGGAAAATGGAAAGAATGGGAAAGAAAGGTAAGTAAACAGGAGCAGGTAAAATTTACTGTCTGGAACACTCTTTCTGCGGTGTGGTTCATGCAGCAGACAGAGAGAGAACTGGGAGGAACCCAGAGGCAGCTTGGAGTATGCACACAGCATGATGGGGGTAGAGAAAAACCCTTTAGCTTCATCTGTGCAATTCTGAAACATTTAGAGAAGGCTTCTGCGCAGGCACAAAATGCAACTATGTGATTTATAGAGACCACAAAGAATTGGTAATTCCTGTTGCCAGGAAAGCTCTCCTTGTGGAAGTGATTTTTTATAATTAAAGACTTCCCTCTTCCATCCCACAGTCCCCATATGTTCCCAACAATGGAAGGGATTACTTAGGACCATGAAGGCCTTCGGTTGGGAGGAGGAAATGTTTAATTTCCTTAAAAATGCTCTGCAGAATGTAGACATGATTTCAGTCCTTGTCTTACAATACAGAATTAGAATTTATAATTCTAGTCCATTATTACATATTTTAGCTATAATTTGAAATTAAAAGTACTGTCACAGAAAAACTACTGTGAGCTACATACAAACAATTCAGCCAGTTAAGTATAGTGGTACCTCAATTTACAAACTTAATTCGTATTGGAATTAAGTTTGTATGTCGAAAAGTTCATAAGTCAAGGCAAACTTTTCCATAGGAATGCATTGAAAACCATTTAATCTGTATCTGCTGTTTTTCGTCCGTACGTCGAGGCGCTGTTCGTAGGTAGAGGCATTAATTCCATAGGAACTAATGCAAAGCTGGTTAATCCGTACTCTACCACTAGAGGGTGAATTTTTATTTTTATTTTTTTTTCTTCTTAGGTCAAAAAAAGCACAGGAAAGGGTTTTTTTGGGGGGGGCGTTGTAAGTCGAGGCTCCATTCGCAGGTTGAAGCAACCTTTTGTGAACGGAACCGTTCATAACTTGAATCGTTCGCAAGTAGGGACATTCATAAGTTGATGTACCACTGTACTGGGAGGTTTGCTTGGTTGCTGCTTTTAATACCTCAAAGATTTCAAATCCAGCAATATCCAGGATGCCAATGAAGGAAGCTCCCTGTCGTTTGGTCCTATCCAGAGCTTTGTTAATACGATGAACAAGCCAGCGGAAAAGGCGCTCATAAGTAGCCTTTGCCAATGCCTCCACTGCAAAGTCTGCCTGAAAATTAAACAAGCAAAAGGATTATACAAAAAAAAATAGGAAAAATGGAGTTATGACATATTGGCAGCCCTTCTCAATCAAGCTGCACAGCCCAATGTCTGTTTACCTATCCAATTTTCATCACTGTTCAAACACTTCATTCCCCACTCAGCGCAATGGTGTTCAGACTCGAAGCAGCTGACCTGACCACCTACGCCAAAGTGGAAGTTCAGTTGGGAGACAATGATCCCTGCAGCAGCTACTTCTGAAACAGCAAATTAATGTGCCAGCAGCTCCAAGGAGCTTCAGATCAGATTCCTCACATACAGTTTTAGAATCACACAAAAGGTGCTCAATGACCTCCCAAGGTAAAGAGGTGTAAAATTTGCAGGCTGGAAGTTGACGGCTACGTTAATTACAGAAAACATCACCCTTGTGCTTGTGAGAACGTACCTGTTCTTTTGTTTGTGCTTTCTGTACATAGTCCCTGCCAACTTTAATACGTGGAGTGAGTATTGCTCGAGTAAATTCCATTACATTCATTCCCAACAGGTGGCAGAGTTTCTGTGCAACTATAAAAACAAACAATGCTGTCGGTTACCAGAGCCTCTTTCAGCAAGGACTCCAACAATTCTCTTTTTTTCCAAGCTCCTAGCATCAAGGAGCCCTTTTCATGTAAACTTGTTTGCCAATAAACCTCAGCAAATATCTGCTACAGAACAATCAGTGCTGCTCTTTTAACATTGTTAACTCAGTGCTCTTGGAGAAAACAAGCCTCCTCTGTCCGTAAAGCTAATTTTATTTATTTATTTATTTATTTGATTTATATCCCACTCATCCGGTCATACGACCAATCACATCCCACTCTGAGCATTAGTTTTTAAAAATCTGTGCAGATGATGATATTTGCCTCTCTTCAGAAGACCCAGAGCAAGAAAGCAACTTAGCTCTGCAGAATTTTAAACTGTGTAGATGTCCTTGCCAGACAAAATCAAAATAATATCTAGATATTTTTTTTACTGATGTCAGAGGATTTTCCCTTCTTGATTAAATAGGGCAACAGGACAGATATTACTAAATGATGTCGGTCCTATGCATACCACCCTGCCATTTCAATAACTGGGATTGTCTAAATATAGCACCTATAGTCTCCTCTTTCCAGAAAGCTGTGCTTGGCTCCAGAATTGATGTCCCTGGCAGTATAAACATTATATAGATCCAAGATAAATAAACTGTTTGAATTACACATACCATTTCTACTTGGGGCTTTAGAGACTTTGCTGATAAGCCCTTAATGAGGTTATAGTTCAAATACTTTCCCAAAAAAATAAATACTTTGATACAGAGATTCTGCAAGCAGGCATTTTTAGTAGCTCCACAGACAATAGTGAACAATACAAGTTTCACAGCACTTAAGTGATTATGTTATGCTTGCGACTAATTAATCTCCGACAAACAGTTATACAAAGGAATTTCAGTAAACTGTTTCAGTACTAAGTATTGAAAACCAGTAAATAAGATCTACAGAGTAAGTACAGTTCTACTGCAATTGAAAATATATTTACCGGTATTTTCTGGCATAGATGCCTGGTCAGTATTTCGTTCTTTCTTGAAGGAAATGTTACCAAACTGTAACACTGAGGATACCACTTTCAACATAGCTATGCAAAACATAAGAGAAGCTGATAAGATTCATTTGCCTCCACATGCCATTATTCAAATTTATGAATATTTTGTATTATTAATTTTGCCACTGCAGGGAAAGTTAGTAAGATATGCATGCTAAGGAAGCTCTACCACAGATGCCTGCTTAGGACTTCTCTTAGCTTTTGACATTACACATATACACAGAGGCACACTCAAATCATTTTTATTAATCCAAATTATCCAGGACACTATATTCTGCTATCACGTGGAATATCACATATTCCTAGACATACTACAAGACTCGCGTTCTGCTTTCAGTAAGACTGACAGGTCTTACAGGTAACAATGAAAAATCTCCAGCTGCAAAATTGAAACTTTTCAAACATACCTAAAATTTCATCGTGAGAAAAGCCCATTATATGCATTGCTTCCATAGTCTCCTGGAAGTTATCCTTATCTTGTTGGCCAGGAATGGGTATGTAGCCATTGGACAGGAATCTGTAGTTATTAAATCCTTCAAGGAGTAAGTCAGCTGTAATGAGCAAGAAAGAGGAAACAGATTTTTTTTCTCTTTCTCTCAGAATATAGGAAACAAGTTAGACCACTGGTTTATCTACCCTGACATTGTCAACTTTGCACTGATAGTGGCTCTTCAGGGCTTCCAACAGGATCCCTTCCTAGTAATATCAAGTGTAAATGATTCAGAAGAAGCTATGTTAGGACAGCACTTTATTTGTTAACAATGACATCATTTAAAACTTGACAATTTTCTTAGAATTAATCACTATTTGAAAAAAATAAAAAATAAAACAAAGCAGACAACACAATCCTGAAAACCAGACTCATTTTTGCACAGTGAGGTTGGAGGGAAAACCTTTAAGAGAAAATTATAGACAACACTCCAAGACAGACATATGGGTGTATCTATCAAAGGGCATCAAATGTATAATGGCAGTGATACTGAGAGGAGGTGAGACTGTTCTGGAAATAATTAGTACTTGTTCTAAAGTACAAACAACAAACTGCAATTCGGGAACAGAGCTATCTTTTTTCCATGGCATACATAAAGAAATACTAAACAATGGTGTCATTTCAGCTTCTGTTTAAGTTCTATTAATTTATGAATTAAGAATACTAATATTTGTGGACTTACCCTTCAAATGTTCACCTGCTCCTGCTAGAAGCTGATAGAAGATATGAAAAGTCCGTTCATCTTTGGCTTGACGAACTGCACGTGACTTTTCTAACAAGTCTGAACCAGGGTAGTTAAGGAATTTATTGAGCAAATGTGCATCTTGTCATGAAAAGAAAACAAACTAATCTTAAAATAACATCTTACCATTTTCTTCCTCTTCATATGCATTTTATGTTTATTATGTTTTTATTAGCACTAATTCTAAGAAGAGAACTTCTTTAAGCTACTGTTACTGTTGTCAGTTGTTGTTTAGTCGTTAAGTCGTGTCCGACTCTTTATGACCCCATGGAGCAGAGCATGCTAGGCCCTCCTGTCTTCCACTGCCTCCCAGAGCTGGGTCAAAGAAGCAGCCTCTTCACCACCAACAGTTTGAATTTCCCGCCCTTTTCCCCCTGCCTCTTTCTGTTCTTAACTTGACGCTCCGGCCGCAAGTCGAAGCAAAATTTTGCAGCCGGAGCTTTTCGTAACTCGACATTTTCATAAGTAGGGACATTCATGTCGAGGCCCCACTGTATTCCAAAACACATTTACTGTAGTTTGCTTCCTGCTACTGTACTCTTGCTGTTCCAATGGAAATCCCAATTTCCGTATCATTACCCTTAAATCTGGACACCTTCCCGTTTTATTTAATGTACACTATACACTGCTACAGAGCTCTAAATATTATAGTTCTAAATAAACTCTGTTATGCCTTATCAAGTGGATCTGTTGCTCCTAAAGAAGACCAACTGAAATCATTACGGAAGTTAGTCCTGACTAACCTAAACCTCACTGATTTCAGTGCATCTGACTGTCTCTAGATAAATTCCTCAGCAACACTGCCCATAAATGCAACTGTCTACTGCATTTCAATGTAGTCATCAATATCAAATCATGGTTGAATTCATCAAATGAGTTCTAAAATAGGATACATGTTTCAATATTGGCTCCAACAATGTAGCCAGTAACATCAAAATTTATTCTGATGAACTTGCCCTGCAGGGAAATAGAGGTGAAAAAACACCATATTTACTCATTTTCAGTGTTTATAGACTTAAGTCTCTACTCAAAACAGTGTTTCACATATATGCTGAATGGGGATTGAACACATTTCACTAAATGCTTACAAGGACAACAACAATAATAAAAACCTGAACAGCAATACAATAAAATTGGAAGGCAGAAGAACAGTATCAACCAGCTAAAAAGCCAAATTAAATTTTAAAATGTTTTAATGTAAGGCTATAATGTTAGTCCTTAATATACCTCTTGCAGGAGGATATTCCAAAATATGGGCACCACTGCACAAAATAACTTCTCTTTTGCAGATAAAATTATATTACACATGGAATACAGAGAAAGACCTCCTCTGACTGTCTTACTATACAGACAGGTTGACATTTTCTCAATTGCATATAGGCTCCATTCAATCAAATACAAAGGCAAATTGTCAAACCTACATTCAGAATTTATCAGCACCACAGATGTTTCTCAGCAATAATGTTTTGCTGCATTCTTAGCATATCAATACAACATTTCAACAAAATGAAAAATTAGGGAAATAATTATTTCATTTCAAGTCAGAATTTAAAAATTTCACAGGATGGCAGTTATTTTTACACATAAATAAAACACAATTTAGTACGCATTAAGCTACTCATTAAAAAAATAATGCCAGAAACACTGCTCTGATTATGTTCACAACATCAATGCAGACTTGGGGGGGGGGATAACAGGAAACAGATGGCAAAATGTTTCACAGAAAAAGATCTTTCTTTGCATGCATGTAATTTTCAAGGCTTCCATAAAACTGAACAAAACAGAATATTGAGCAGCGGAATTTATAAAGTTAATTGCTAATGGGATAGAGCTAGACCTAGATCTGGGCAGGTATAAGTGGGCTAGCAGGTGCAGACTTCTACAACATTTCCTGCTTTATAGCAATCCCTCCAAAAATGTCACAGAGCATCATGCTGAGCAGAGAATGAATACGTTCCACAAAAAATCAGATGAAGGCATATAAGATGTGCCTCAACTTGACCTGAGGATCCCATTCACACAGCCTTTGCTGTTCATGAGGACTCTTAAGCCCTCTGTGTAGCAATTCTGGGGATGCTGAATTGGGCCCTACAGGCAAACAGCTATCCCAAGAATGAAATCACAAGAGTAATCAAACCAAGAAAACAACACTGAACTAAAGAAGAAAAACAGCCACCCACAAGCATTTCTGGCATACATCAAAGGGGTCACAAACCACATGGGGAAACTTTTGAAAAAATACAACCTACGAATAGTATTCAGCAAAGGACCAAAGGGACACCCCTCACCACTGCAGGAGTATACTGGATACCTTGCAGTTGAGGCCAGGTATATGTTGGAACCACAAAACGAAGCATCCACACCAGAATCAAAGAACATGAGAGACACTGCAGACTAAAACAACTGAGAAAATCGGCAGTAGTTGAACATGCCCTGAAAAAAGCTGGAAATGAAATCCTATTTCAAAATACAGAAGCACTGGACAACACCAGCAATCATTATGTTAGACTACACAGGGAAGTAACTGAAATCCACAAACAGCAGCAGAGCTTCAACAAAAAAGAAGAATGTCCAAAAATCAACAAAGCCTGGCTCATAGCACTGAAAAATACAGCCTGCAAAAAGGTCAACAAAATCTCCCCAGCCACAAGGACCGGTGATCGCTGCACACAAAAGACTAACTAATAACACGCATCAACCACAGTGACAGATCATTTCCTCCTTATCGCAACAATATACCCATAACAAAAAACACCCTGACCACCACAATCACCCAATCTCCTGAAAAGAACAAAAAGCTGATCCCACAGCTACAAATACTCAACTATCCCACACACTACACCAGAACACAGACAGAGTTCTAACTCCTGTCCTCTGAAAATGCCGGCCACAGAGGTGGGCGAAACATTAGGAAGAAAAACCTCCAGAACACGGCCAAACAAAAACCTACAACAATCATAGGATCCCAGCCATTAAAGCCTTCAAGAATGCAACTCTCCCCTTGTTGAACACTTCTGTTGTTGTGTGACTAACAATACATCCAGGTTAAAACAGAACAGGCTGTGCTCCAGCACACATCTTGTTAATATAAATTTGATCACAAATTTAATAAACACCCTCAGCATGTGTTTAAAAGCATATTTGATTTCATTTTAATCACATGAAACCTATGATCTGAATAGCACAGAAAAACACCCTCCTCAGAAATTCTGCAGTGAAGTCGCCCCATCAGATCATGAGCTCCCCAAAGTTAACTCACACTGGTAACAGAAGCACAACATTAAAATTGACTGGAAGGAAGACAGGCATACACAACCTAGAGACCATTTCTGATCTGTTAATGTTAATTCCACTGTATTTCCAAACCAGAAAGTCAAAAGAGTTACTTTTTTGATATAGTTCCAGCCAACAAAGATTATGCATACAACCAAACACCTTATTCCTATGATAACATTTTAAAACTAAAACATATTTTATAATTACTTCTACTGTGGAGGGGAATGTTGCAGGTAAGTATCAACAATAAATAGTATGAAGTAGATGTAGAATAAAAAAAATAAATGGGAGTGTATATTGAAAATAACTTGCAAGTATATTTTTTATTATTTGCTATACAAACCGCAAGACAATATATTTTGTACATTACATGACTCTGAGTTACATTAATCACGACTGTTTGTATTTTTAGAGCATAAAAATTAGACGCAAAGCCCTTTTAATATTCTCTAGTACTTTAAAGTCATCTGAACTGTTTTGGATACATGAATGAAACATATCCTATGTCTCTTACACTGTAGATCTATATCACTAAAAAATAAATGGGAGTGTATATTGAAAATAACTTGCAAGTATATTTTTTATTATTTGCTATACAAACCGCATGACAATATATTTTGTACATTACATGACTCTGAGTTACATTAATCACGACTGTTTGTATTTTTAGAGCATAAAAATTAGACGCAAAGCCCTTTTAATATTCTCTAGTACTTTAAAGTCATCTGTTTTGGATACATGAATGAAACATGTCCTATGTCTCTTACATGTATATCTATATCACCGGATACATGCTGCATGTTCATTAAGTGTTTCCTGGGGGCAGGGGAGTTGCGTTGTCAGGCTTAAGCAATGCAGGCGTGTCTATCCATATCCCTATTATGAAGCTAATAGGTTACTAGTTGCTTTAATTTCTCAAGAAGGGTTAAGGCAATGAATTGGGTTCCTAGAGAGGAAGGGTGCCAGGAGATGGGTAGGTAGACTGGGATGTGAAGTCAAAAAAAGTCCCTTCCTTTGTTTTTTCTTCCTTCAGAGAAACATGGGGTTTCTTCTCCCCTAAGAGCTGCCTCTCCCTTCTAGGATCTAGGGATTCCCTCCTCATTTGTCTCTAGGAGTGATGTTGGTGAGTCTGTACCAGCTGGGCTAGAAAGGAGGCTAAGAAAATCTGGGAGGGCAAAGTGGAAGCAGGCAGAAGCCAAACTGCAAGCCTAGCTATGCAGAGGGGAAAGCAAGTAGGTGTATGTTGCTGCTGCTTTGAGGGGATTATGAATTAATGCTTTCCCAAGCCTAAAAACCTCACTCCCCCTGGTGCAGTCTTATAAAATAAAAGCCATGGTTTCTCCATCTCAAGTTCTAACTTCCTCTTTTCCTAGCATTGTTGTCTTTTCCAGGGAAGTTTGTCTTCTCACAATAGTTTGCTCGATTAAAAATGCTTTTTATGCAGTGGTGTGTGTTGTCACAGGTTACTTAGCTATTACAAAAAAAAACTTTTAAAAGGTTTGGAAACACCGCTCTATATGCTATAACCTGTACATTAACCAAACACCATTATATAAGATATGTCTGTCTCTAGTTCAACCCGTGACATCTGCATCCTTGATAAGGCAGAAAACTATAGGCTTATAAATATTCAAAATATATCAGTCCTCCCAAACAATAGTTTAATTTTATGTGCTCATTCTGACTGTAGTTGTGCAGGAACCATTGAATGTACCATATCCGGTACTTTGTTGTTTAAAGAAACTCTTTCTGTAAACCAATAACATAATTTTTTTTCCAGTTTAGATTCAACAAAAATCAACTAATAGACTTTTGATGAAGTCTGAAAGATAAAGAGTTACTTATTCTTGTACTGTAAGTTTGGGTTATTTCCATTATGATTTACCCGTTAAGTGTAGAATTAAGTTTCAAAGATGAACCATGTATTAATCAACTTCTTAAAAGGGAGTTTGCTTTAGAAGAATTGCCAAGCATTTTATTAAGGATTTGGAGAAAAAAGACTTACAAAACGAGAAGAATTATCGTTTTTTACAGTCTTTGCATTCCCAAATGATTCCAGAATAGGATTGGCTTGTAGGAGCTGACGTTCCAGTTCACCCTGAAAACACACACAGAAACAGAAAATTATGCAAAACCAATCCAAAAGAAGCATACTTTCACAGGTGTGGTTTCCTTTTCCAACTGTCTTGATCCCATCTGTCTTCTCAATATACCATCTTCAAAATAGGCATAATGCTATTAACAGCTGAGAATGACTTACTAAAAAATAAGTAGTTGAACAGTATGGCATTACACTAAACACAGAAAAATATCAATTTAAAGTTAGGGCTAATGAACAACGCACAGGTTGACAAACTCTGGCATCTTTCAGACAAAAAAAGTATTTAGAAATTGCATGCTCACCCTTTTACTGCAATCATAGCAATCTGGGTGGCTAAATGGTTTGATAAAAAAAAATAGGATAGTACAAAGGTCATCAGCAACATTTTACAAAGTGGGCACTGAACATTTTTATTTAGCACATGTACAGAGCAACGTATGTCTGTTACTGTCACATGCAACTTAGATAGACCTGCTCATGAAACAGAGCTTGGCCTTCTGCTATCAGATTGGGCTAGAGCTGATACTCACTACTGAATATTATTTTAACTTTGCTCATTGCCTTAGCTCCAACCATTCTCATACTTAAAGTCAGAATGTTCTCACAAGAACATGGATGGGGCACAGATCTAATTTCGTACATTGTTTTAAAAGCCATCCAAATTTTTAAAAAAGAGTCTGCTTTAGTAGAATAGGCATTTCTGGATAAAATCCAATGGCACATCTGCCCCGTGCTATCACCTGTGTGTATCCATCAGCCCAGTGAAGAGACAAATTGGTGGAAGATGTGCTATTGCTGACTTGTCTTATATACCAAAGGGTACAAAAGAGAAGAAGAATTATATCTGTGATATAATTGCAACATTACTATTAGCTCCACTAACGGGCCTGCTTTTTCCAGTCAATCTTTGTTTCTTATAGAACACAAATAACTCTCAAATACTTTCCATTTATTGAACTGAACTGACATTAAATACTGATTATGTTTTACATTATGGTTGGTCATTCATTACAGAGGTATTACACAGTTTTGCCTACGTGTTTTTCATGTTCTCACATATATTTCTGAATAGAATTCTTGCTCAATCTATTGATGGAATATTCTTTCTTTACTAGCCAAGTTCCCCTGATTCATACTGGGAGAGTTTAATTTTCTCAAATGTATTCATTTCTCTCAGAATATCCAATGGAACTTTAATCTGTTTAACAGTCATAATGTCTTAAGTGCAGCAGTTTTATGTTTGACTAAGATACTAACTAGTGTATCTTCAATATTAAAATAATTTGAGTTTGCCCAATACTTTATTGACATCCATGATCCAAACTTTCACACAGAGATAACATGTCATTTACTGCACTGTAACTCTGTGTGTCATATTCCTGTTAGCCCTGCTTCTATAAGAGATCATTGGCCTAATTTGCGGAGGAAAAAAGCCTTCCAAGTGAAAAAGCACAAAAATTAAAATACAATATAGAATCCAGTTAGAAGTCCAAACAAATAGTCCATTCATATGTGAACCAAATTTAAGAGATCAGCTCACATAGCAGCAGATCTGGACTGGATAGTAAAAGCATCTCAAAGTATAAACAGCATGAACTGTAATAATGGTCTTTTAAGTCTGGGTTGGAGAGTCTGAGGAAAAGGGGTTGATGTCCCTGGACAGTTCTGAAAACCTTGAGTATAGCAAGTAAAATTATTCCATGGAATGCTGATGCTATCTCCTAATACAGAACAAGCCCAATAGCAAAACATGCCTTCAGTTGTCTTGAACAAGGAAATTCACATTTCAAACAAGTGAAATAGGAAACTCCTTCAGTACAACAAAAGGTCTGAACAACATGAAAGATTCAATCTATTTGTTATTTAATTGCCATGAGACAAGAGCCTGGGGCATGTGTAATTAATACTAACAATTTTGTGGTGTCATTAAGTTGGAGTGTCTGGAGCTAAAGAGTTCAGTCCCTGCACAGTTCCAGAGCACCACCAGAAGAAGTAACCTGTAAGCTACATTTAAGTATCTCGTGTCTAGAAATACCTGAAAAGTTCATATATAAACACAATTAAATATATTTCTCATGTGACTCCTATTTCATGAGCATCTATGGTGCCTGGTATACCCCCTTATTGTCGTAATTATGACAATCAAGACTAAATAATCTTAAAATCATCATTTTTGCAGGATTTCACAGAAGCACTAAACTAAACACAAGATTTGAACAATCTTCACAGTATAGATTCAGGGAAATCTTGGAAAAAGCATCCAAATATTGTGACTGTGTGATAACATGCAATATATTCATGCAAATCAACAGTGTAAATACAGGTAAAGAAGAGAGACATTGCTCTCAGCATCCCTGTAATTTGGATCATTGTGAGAGCGAGGTGAAGAGCTAAAAGAGCTACATGCTACTCACATACAATAGGGATCCACTCTGCAGTTTAAAATGACAATGAAACAGAATGTTAATGGTTATGAATTTATGACTGCTACAGAAACACATTGGGATTAAGAATTAAAAACAATTTTTGGGTTCTTATAGGACAACTTGCTTATTACTTTTTTTAGAAATCCTAGGACATAACTGTAAGCACTGACTCCTGTTCAACTTCAAAGAAAAGAATAATTCTACTAAAAGCCAAACATACACATATAAATTAAGAATACAGTGGGGTATTGACTTGCGAACTTAATCCGTATTGGAAGGCGGTTCGCAAGTCAAAAAGTTCACAGGTCAATTCTGCATTTCCCATAGAAATGCATTGAAAACCATTTGATCCGTATCTGCTCTTTTCCGTCCATAGAAACTAGTGGGAAGTGGCGCGGGACCCTGAGGAAGGGAAGGGAAGGGGTGCCGTCAGTCGGGGCATTCATTACGTACCTGCGAGCCCCTCCGCTCGGCCCAGAAGGGGCCCACAGGTCCCGGCGTTGGCGGTGACCTTGGCGGGAGGAGAAGGGGAGGCACCGGAGAGCAACCTCGCATGGGGGAGCCGAGCTGCTCCCGTGGCCCTTGGCAGCCCCGAAGGAAGGTGGGAAGGGGGCAGGGACAGCGCCCGCGCTGCCTCCTGGCCTTCCCAGAGCCTCTTCATGTGCCCCAGACGCTCCTCGGCAGCCCCAGCCGGGCAGCAGGCTCTCGTCTTCGCTCCCGCCTCCTTGCTCCAGGGCAGCAGATCCCGATCCCGCACCTCTCAGGGCAAAGGAGGAGGAGGAACAGAGCTTGGCTGGCGGAGGCGCCCAAAGGCCCCGGGGGCTGGGCGGATGCTGCGGGGACCCTTCCTCGCCGCTCCTGGGAGGGCAAGGGCCCGCTCCTCCGG